AGAGAAGCAGAGGAACATTTGAGTGTGCATCCAAGGCCTCCGAGGGTGGCTGGACAGGCTGACAAGGTGGCCAAGAAGCCACATGGGATCCTCACTTTTGTTATCTGAGGGGTAGAATTTAAGGGAGTTCATGCTGGAAAAGTTGGCATTGTGTGTGTAATTCTGATCACCACACTGATGAACAATGTAATGGCATTAGAGAAGGTGAGGTGGAGATTAATGAGCATGTTGCCTGGACTAAAGAAATATGATTATGAGGAAAGAATGCTGGGATTATCAACTTTGGAACAAAGGCAGCCGAATAAACACAGAACAGTACAGCACAGTACAGGCCCTTCGGCCCACGATGTTGTGCCGAACTTTTACCCTAAACCTAAGGTCTATCTAACCTCCACCCCTACCTTATACTATCATCCATATGCCTATCTAATTGCCGCTTAAATGCCCCTAATGAGGCCGACTCCACTACCCTCTCCGGAAATGCATTCCACGCCCCGACCACTCTCTGAGTAAAGAACCTACTTCTGACGTCTCCCCTATATCTACCTCCACTCACTTTAAAAATATGACCCCTTGTAATAGCTACGTCCACCCTAGGAAAAAGTCTCTGGCTGTCCACTCTATCTATACCTCTGATCATTTTGTACCCCTCTATCAAGTCACCTCTCATCCTTCGTCGATCTAAAGAGGAAAGCCCTAGCTCGCTCAACCTTTCCTCGTAAGATTTTCCTTCCATTCCAGGCAACATCCTGGTAAATCTCCTCTGCACTTCCACATCTTTCCTGTAATGAGGTGACCAGAACTGGACACAATACTCCAGATGTGGCCGAATCAGGCTTTTGTATAGCTGGAGCATAACTTCATGGCTCTTAAACTCAATCCCTCTATTAATGAAAACTAGCACACCATACGCCTTCTTAACAACTCTATCCACCTGGGTGGCAGCTTTCAGGGAACTGTGGACATGAACCCCAAGATCCCTCTGCTCCTCCACACTGCCGAGAATCTTTCCATTAACCCTACATTCTGCTTTCAAGTTTGTCCTTCCAAAATGAATCACCTCACACTTTTCAGGGTTAAACTTCATCTGCCACTTCTCAGCCCAGCTCTGCATTCTATCAATGCCCCTTTGTAACCTAGAACAGCCCTCCGCAGTATCCACAACGTGACCCACCTTCGTATCGTCCGCGAACTTACTAATCCACCCTTCCACTCCTACATCCAAATCATTTACAAAAATTGCAAATAGAAGAGGACCCAGAACTGATCTTTGTGGTACACCACTCATAACTGAGCACCATGATGAATATTTTCTATCCACTACCACCCTTTGTCTTCTAAGGGTCAGCCAATTCTGAATCCAATCTGCCACATTTCCCCCTATCCCATGCCTCCTTACTTTCTGCATAAGCCTCCATAGGGAACCTTATCAAACGCCTTACTTAAATCCATGTATACCACATCCACTGCTCTACCTTCATCCACGTGTTTGGTCACCTCTTCAAAGAATTCAATAAGGTTTGTGAGGCATGATCCACCCCTCACAAGTCCATGCTGACTATCACGAATCAAACAAGTGATCATAAATCCTACCTGTCGTAGCCCTTTCCAATAATTTGCCCACCACTGATGTAAGACTAACTGGCCTGTAATTTCTGGGGTTATCCCTATTCCCTTTTTTGAACAAGGGAATGACGTTTGCCTCTCTCCAATCTTCCGGCACTATACCCGTGGACAGTGAGGACGAAAAGGTCATCACCAAAGGCCCTGCAATCTCTTCCCTCGCTTCCCGTAGAATCCTTGGATAAATCCCATCAGGCCCGGGGACTGATCAATCTTCAAGTTCCTCAAAATTCCCAGTACATCTTCCTTACTAACATCCACCTCCTCTAGCCTACCAGCCCGTTTCACACTGTCCACCTCTACAACTAGGTCCCTCTCAGTTGTGAATACCGAAGAAAAATATTCATTAAGGACCTCTACTATCTCTTTAGGCTCCGTGCACAAATTCCCTTTACAATCCTTGATCGGCCCTATCCTTTCTCTGGTCATTCTCTTATTCCTCACGTACGTGTACAAAGCCTTGGAGTTTTCCTTGACCCTATCTGCCACGGTTTTCTCATTCCCCCTTATAGCTCTCCTAAGCCCTTTCTTCAGCTCCTTCCTGGATAACTTGTATCCCTCTGGAGCCTTTTCCGATCCTCGTTTCCTAAACCTTATATAAGCCTCCTCCTTCCTCTTAACCAGTCGTTCGACCTCTCTTGAGAACCAAGCCTCCCTCACTCGACTGCATCTTCCCTGCCTGCTGGGGACAAACATATTGAGCACACGCAGTATGCATTCTTTAAATAATCTTCACATTTCAATAGTGCTCTTCCCTGACAGCATCTGTTCCCATTTTATATTACCCAGTTCTTGCCTAACAGAATTGCAATTACCCTTCCACCAATTATAAACTTTACCCTGTACCTATTCTTTTCCATGACTATTATAAAAGTAACAGAGTTATGATCGCTACCGTCAAAATGCTCTCCTACCAACAGGTTTAACACTTGGCCCAGTTCATTGCCAAGCACCAAATCCAAAGTGGCCTCTCCTCGTGTTGGTCTATCTATGTACTGTGTCAGGAATCCTTCCTGAACGCACTGGACAAAATCCGCTCAATCTAAACTATTACAACTAAAAAGTTTCAATCAATATTTGGAAAGTTGAAGTCACCCATGACTACAACCGTGTGACTTCTGCACCTTTCCAGTATCTGCCTTCCAATCCGCTCCTCCACTTCTCCGCAACTATTAGAGGGTCCGTAAAAAACCCCCAACAAAGTGACTGTTCCTTTCTTGTTCTGGACCTCAACCCAAACTGACTCTGTAGACATGTCATTCTCGAACTGCCTTTCAGTAGCTGCTATACTAGCCCTGACCAGCAATGCCACTCCCCCACCTCTTTTACCACCCTCCCTATTTCTTTTAAAGCATCTAAATCCCAGAACTTCCAACAACCATTCCTGTCCCTGAGTTACCCAAGTTTCTGTAATGGCCACAACATCATAGTTCCAAGTACTGACCCATGCTCTAAGCTCATCTGCCTTATTTCTGATACTTCTAGTATTGAAGTTGCAGCTGTACAAAACTCTGGTGCGGCCTCACTTGGAGTATTGCATACAGTTCTGGTCACCGCATTATAGGAAGGATGTGGAAGCATTGGAAAGAGTGCGGAGGAGATTTACCAGGATGTTGCCTGGTATGGAGGGAAGGTCTTATGAGGAAAGGCTGAGGGTCTTGAGGCTGTTTTCGTTAGAGAGAAGAAGGTTAAGAGGTGACTTGATAGAGACATACAAGATGATCAGAGGATTAAATAGGGTGGACAGTGGGAGCCTTTTTCCTCGGATGGTGATGGCTAGCACGAGGGGACATAGCTTTAAATTGAGGGGTGATAGATATAGGACAGATGTCAGAGGTAGGTTCTTTACTCAGAGAGTAGTAAGGGCGTGGAATGCCCTGCCTGCAAAAATAGTAGACTCGCCCACTTTAAGGGCATTTAAATGGTCATTGGATAAACATATGGATGATAATGGAATAGTTTAGGTTAGATGGGCTTCAGATTGGTTTCACAGGTCGGCGCAACATCGAGGGCCGAAGGGCCTGTACTGCGCTGTAATGTTCTATGTTCCATGAAATATACACACCTCAAACCATCCCTGTGTCCATAATTACGCTCCGTCGACCGCACTTCTTTATTAACAACCTCACTCCCTGTTGTGTCTGTTGGAAGACTAAATACCTCATCCTCTGAATTACCAATCCGGTTCCCCACCCCCTGCCAATCTCATTTAAACCATCCCGTATAGCTCTAGCAAACCTCCCTCCCAGGATATTTGTGTCCTTCCGGTTCAGGTGCAACCCGTCCTTTCTGTACAGGTCCCACCTTCCCCAGAATGTGCTCCAATTATCCACATAATGGAAGCCCTCCCTCCTACACCAGCCCTGAAGTCACGTGTTTAGCTGCATTCTCTCCCTATTTCTTATCACATGGCACTGGTAGTAATCCAGAGATAACTACCCTGTTTGTCCTGGACTTCAGCTTCCAACCTAACTCCCTGTACTAATTTTTCACATTCTCTGTCCTTTTTCTACCTATGTGCATTGGTACCGATGTGTCCCATGACTGCTGGTTGCTCACCCTCCCCCTTAAGGATCTTGAAGACACGATCCGAGACATCACGGACGCTGGCACCTGGGAGGCAACATACCATCCATTCATCTCGTTCGCGTCCACAGAACCTCCTGTCTGTGCCTCTTACTATTGAATCCCCCACTACAATTGCTCTCCTATTCTCCCCTCTTCCCTTCTGTGCGACAGGGCCAGGCTCAGTGCCAGAGACCTGTCCGCTCTGGCCTTCCCCTGGTAGGTCGTTCCCCCTCAACAGTATGCAAAACGGTATACTTATTATTGAGGGGAACGGCCACAGGGGATCCCTGCTCTGTCTGCCCGTTCCCTTTCCCCCTCCTGACAGTCACCCAGCTACCTTTTTCCTGTACCTTGGGTGTGACGACCTCCCTATAACTCCTCTCTCTCACCCCCTCAGCCTCCCGAATGATCCAGAGTTCATTCAGCTCCAGCTCCAGTTCCCTCATGCGGTTTGTGAGAAGCTGGAGTTGGGTGCACTTCTCACAGGTGAAGTTAGAGGGGACACCAGCAGTGACCCTTACCTCCCACATCCTGCAAGAGGAGCATGCAACTGCCCTAGCTTCCATTCCATCTACTCTAGATTTCCAGAAGAATAAAAAAAAGCCTTACCTTACTGACCCTCCACACAGTCTTTTTTTTCGGTTAGAGGAGGAGGATGGGTGGGAGACACTACACGTGTAGTGTTTCAGGTTTAGCCAATGCCCGAATATATTAGTTCACTTCCTGGCTTGTGTGCTCACCACTCCCGTCGCTGAAAGCAAGAAGGCCGCTGCCTCACGAGTTAAGTGTTTCTGAGGAAAAAAGCTTACCTTGCCGGCTGCATCCTGGCTTGCGTCCTCACCACTCCCACCGCTGAAAGCAAGGAGATTGGAATGTATAAAATTGTGAGGGAAGGACCTATTCAGCATGGCTGAGATGGCAGAGATTTACAGTGAAAGGCAATAAGTTGAGAGAAGACCTGAGGAGGTAATTTCTCACCCAGAGGTTGGTAGAATCTGGAACACACTGCCTGAAAGGGTAATAGAAGCAGAAACGTACTTGGATGGTGCCAGGACCTGTCAGGCAATAGAACAAGAACCAGAAAAGTGGGATTAAGTTGAACAGCTTTTCAGCTGTTGATGGACGATATGATGGATTGAATGGCCTTCTCTGCTGTAAATTCCTTTGATTCTATAATTTCTAAAATCCATCTTCTTACTCAAAATATCTAACATCGTATCTATCTGTGACTGGGCCAGACAAAACATCAGACAGAAGCTAAGTGACATTTGAATATATTGGCCCATGTGATTTAGTTTTGGTTTTTCAAACACTTTCTTCTGATTGTACAATTTTAATGCTTCATCCAGAGGATTCTATGGCATGGGGCAGCAACATGGGAAGTATGAGCCACGTCTGATGTACCAGCCGCTGTATCACTGCCACCATTTCACTTGTGTTTCCATCCAGCCAATGTTGCACAGAAAGTTTCTGTGACTGCTTAGGATTTAGACTGCATCATGGGCTGGTAGATATCGATTGGATTGTATCTACCACAGACAGAATTAGTTGAATTCTTGAGGGAGACAGTCTGCGGGATTACAGGGAAAGAGCAGGAGAGTAAGACTGATTGGACTTCTCTTTGAAAGAGGGGTTACATACTCTACTAGCCAAATGACTTTCCTCAAGTGCCCTCTTCTGTGATTTTATTCAGGAAATGTGAGGTTCAGCACTTACCACAGCTTCACAAACCCAGTGGTAAGTCAGAAAAGCCTCCTCCTCCATCTCAACATCCGGGTCGTAGGATTTTGATCCATCTAGTACCAGATCCTGGTGATTGGCCCATGTTCTCTCTGATCCTCCACTGATAATGGCCAGCAGCTTACTCTGTACCACCTGGATCACCGCTGCCACCTTCTGGCTCAATGGTGTGCTAACAAGGTCCACTGTGAACTGCAAGCAGTGGGCACCTAGAGGCAGTGCCAATTTGGGCAAGGCCAGGATGGGTTTGCCAGTATCTACAGCGCTGAGGGGCACTCGAGCTGACCCATGGCAGCTGGTGCCCTCTAACAGTTCCCAATGGTAGCGAGCCTGGTACGCTGTGCAGCCCCTTAGGTCCACCTTAGCCTCAAAGTAACTCGCTCGTGCCCGGACAACAGTAGGTGGTGGTTTGACCAATCCGACTTCAGGAGCCCAGCAAGCAGGCTGCCGCACGTTGATCACCAGGCGGCCAACCACAGAGCTGACATCATTGAAGACCTTGGCCTCCACAGTGTACCAACCAGCTGTCTTATACCTGTGCTGGATAGTGCCATTCTGACTGGTGTATGTCTTGGGTGAGTCACCAAAGTTCCAGAGGTATCGAACATCAGTACCCCCCAATAACACCATCCGAAATGTCACAGCCTGTTCCACAAACAGATCAACATTGTCACTCCAGAGCTTGCCTGCCACTGACACGGGGAGTTGAACTTGAATGCACTCAGTAAGTGAAAGGGCACCAAGCTGTCCAATAGCCTCCACATGGACAGTTAGCTTTCCTGTGCTCTGAGGGGTGTAGGTAATGCTTGGCCCTGAGCCATGCAGATCAGGTAAGCCTGGCAGGTGGAGGTGCCACCTGTACCTCACACCTGTCCCTGTGTGTACCCTCGCGGTGAGCTTCATCTCCTTGTTGGCCTCCACAGTAGACTGGCAGCAATTAACCAAATGGAGTCCAGTGACCTCCTCCAGCACCACCACAGAGGCAGAGCACATCTCACTGCTGACTTCATTGCATGCTGTCGCAGTCACATTCTGCAGTCCTACTGAAGGGAATGTCACTTTGTAGGTGTCTCCACGTAGTGACAACTGTGTGCGCAAAGTGACAAAATGCAGGAAGTAGCGCACCATGCTGCCCTGCTGAACATTAAGGGTAAAAGTCACTGCTTCACCAACCCGAACAGTTGTCTTGTCCAACTCGATGACAAGCCCTATGACTCTGTCCTGCACTGTGAGGTTATGGTGCACTGACTCCCAGCTAACTCCATTGGAAGCATTGAGGGTGAGTGGGTAGACTCCTGCTGTGCTGAACGTATGATTGATCTCATGACCGTGCCAGGAGTGGGTGCCTACTGGGCTGAGCAGGCACCATTCCCAGGAGATATCAGTGCCTCTGCCTGCAAAGCCCTTCAGATGGGTGGTGGCATTAGTCTGCAAGTAAAAAGGGAGTGCCTCATCCAGCACAGTGTAGCTCACTTCACAAACAGGCTCTTGGATTGTTAAAACAAGGGAGTTCTGGACACTCCCTAGCCTATTGTAGACGGTCACGTTTACCTTAGTGGTTCCTGCTGTTGAGTAAATGTAGGAAAGTGAGGAGATGCTGGTCCTTAGGCGATTTTCAGCTCCTTCGATGAACCATTCATACAGTAAATCAGTCCCAGAGGTGACTGTGACATTCAGTTGAACTGGTTGCCCCGTGGCTACGTTGCGTGGTGTTGAAGTGACCTTCACCCCACTGATACGCTCCAATACTGAGATCTCTTCACTTTGGCTGACTCCTCCAAGAGCATTTTTGGCCATCACCACCAACCAATAATCCCCAGCTGCCTCTGGTTGAAACATCATGATTGCCCCTTGACCTACAGCAACCACAACAGGGCCTCGTCTAATGGTCCATTCAAAGGACACATTTGACCCCAGTGCCACGTGTGCACGCAGTATACAAACCTCCTTTGCAGCAAAGTAACTTCTGTGAATCAGATCTCCAGTGTCTATTTTCACATCTTGGATCCTTTCTTCAGCCTGAACGGTGACCATTTTTGTTTCTTCACTCACCTCATTTCTTGCTGTCACCACCACACTGTAAGTGCCAGGCTCCAGGAAGCTGTGTTTGAAACTGGATGATCCGGGGTGTAGGACACAGTCTCCACACACTGCCCAGAAGAAGACAACTTGTTCTCCTGTGGACAGCGAAGCAGTGAAGGTGACACTCTTCCCAGTTTCCACTACCAGCTGTCCAGCACTGACACACAGCTGGGTGATGGGGGTGATGACACGGACATTCAGGAACCTCTCCAGGCGACTGACCAGGTTTACCCCCACCACCATCATGGTGAACCATCCACAGCTCCGATAAATGTGAGATACCTGCTGGCCCTCTGTCCTGGCAGTGCCGTCGCCAAAGTCCCAGTAGAATGTGGCATTGGTACCCGAGGCACCATGGAGATGAAATTCATATGTTTTGTTCGAGGAGAGAGCCTCCTGGGCCAGACCCTCATGATGAATTGTGAAGTCCCCAACACTTTCCTGAACAGTCACTGAGCAGGAACTACTTTGATGGTCAACATGGTTACTCACAGTGACCACAGCCAAGTAGATGCCAACTTTATCATAGACAAAGGACTGCTCCCTGCAACTGGAAATAGGAGGCCCTCGCACCCCAAAATCCCAGTGGTATTGGTAAGGGTGCTGCTTGCCTTCCTCAGGGTCCACCTTGGCCACAAACTGAACTGGGTCTCTTAACCGTACGGAAAGGTTCCTGGCCAATAGCTGGACAGAATGGATGGGCGCCTGTACACAGATGGCAGCCTGGTAGGATGCAGTATTGAAGGGGCTGGTGGCGGTGACGGTGATTGTGTAGTTCCCAGCTGTGGCATAGGTGTGATGGACCCCGGAGCTGCCTCGGACCACCAGGGCCGGGCTCCCGTCTCCGAAACTCCAGCAGAACTGAGTCCCATTCCCTGTGCTGGACACCTCAGCCTGAAAGGAGGTGTTGCTTCCTGAGACCAAGCATCCTGTTGGTTTGACAGCCATCACCTTCAGTGCATACACCTCCACAACAACCGACTGACTAACTGAGCTGACCAAGTTACTCCCAGTTACCGTGATGGTGTAACGCCCTTCCACAGGGTATCTGTAAAAAATGGTGTCAGTTGTCAGATTTCCAAGGGTGTGTCCATCCCCCATATTGAAGGCCCACAGAATGTTTGAGCCGCTTCTTGCTTCTGCATGAACCAGTATTGTAGAACCCAGCTCACTGCGCTCACTGGTTGTCACCTCGAGGCATGTAATCTCTTCTTCCACTGTAACCATCAGATAGGAACTCATTGCACTGGCTGTATTATTGACTTGGAGTGTGACATTGTAAATTCCTCTCGTTTTAAACCTATGCTGCACTGTGGAGCTCGTTGCCAAAACAGCAGGAGCTCCATCACCAAAGTTCCACGTGTAGAATATCCCAAAAGAGGACGGCCGAGGGTAAGCTTCAAATACAATGACTCCGTTGGTGTGAGGGTGCTCTGGCATCTTTGCGCAGTTCAGTTCTGTCAAAGGGTAGCGGACATACACTGAATGACTCCACCTAATGCAGCTCCACTGAGCAGCACTCTCCACTTCCAAAATATAGTTACCTAGAAAGACAGAGAAGTATATTCAATACTGTTGCTTCTGACGTGCTACATTTCTGACACCACCAACCCTACAGCTGATAAAGTACACTCGGTGATCTGGGATGACAGAGCAGCATGAGAATGGACAGCAAACACACAGATAGAAAGAGTGAGAAACAGAAAAAGAAAACAATTCAAGGATGTGACACAGTGTGCAAGTCAGAGAGGGAACATAAGACAAGCGAATGAGTTACACATAGGAGAGACAGACAGAGGGAGAAAGTCAGAGCCATATTAAATGAAAGGGAGATAGGCAGAGAGAAAGATTGGCAAAGAGAGAGAGAGTGAGAAAGGTTGAAAGAGATTGGGACAAGAAAGTGACAGAGACAGAGAGGGATGCAGTCCCAAACGGTAAGAGAGAATAAGAAAGAGGTAGAGGGAGATTGGAAAAGAGGTAGACAGATTCGGAGATGGAGACTGTGAGAAAGACCGAAAGAAAGAAAGAGAGGAATTATTACCAACAAAAAAAGAACACAGGGACAGGCAGGGAGATACAGGAAAATGATTACAAACCCATGGATTATGACTGAACTGCTGTGGCGTTCTCAATTTTCCAAAAGAGCTGTCGAGGGGGCAGGTTGAGTCATTCATGGTAACCTCAGCCAGTGCTGGAACTGAACCTGCGCTGCTAGCATTAATCGGGGTAAGGCTCACTCACTGTCTAACTGTATAGTCAATGTTTATTCAGCAGGGTAAGGGTCAGTCACTGTGTAACTGTACAGAGTCAATGTTTTTCAGTGGGGTAAGGGCCACTCACTGTGTAACTGTACAGAGTCAGTGTTTTTTTCAATTGGTGCAAATCTATTGTCCTCTGGAACTATATTTAAAAATCAGATTTCGGGATAAGGATATTTTCGAGTTGTGTCATTACCAGGCTGAGAGTATGCCCAGGTCATTTTGTCTTGCACCATTATGGTCGTGGTCCTTGAGTCTGGCTCAGACAGGTGGGCGGAGTGTGGTGGATGCCTGGAATGCGTTATTGTGGCATTTGCATTGCCGAAGTTCCACCTGATTAAGAACAATGCAAAGTAACTGAACAGAGAACACATACTGTGATACCTGATTCCACCAACACACTCAAACCACCCATTCTCTACCATTATCACGTGCAGTAAAGATATTTCATATTCAGAAGACAATCCATACTTAGTGTGGAATCCTTTGGAACTGATGTTTCATAAGGGACAATGATGTACTGTAAAATGTGGTTTTCGAGGGTCATCTAATATAATTAGATAATTCAACACTGCCCTACTGTCTCAAAAAGGACAATATTTGAAAAGGGAACGGTGAAAACCTACAGACCCAAGAGTTGACCAACACACGAGAAATTACAGAGAGTTGTGAATACAGACCAGTCCATCATGAAAGCCAGCCCTCCTTCCATTGACTCCATCTATACTTCCTGCTGTTTGGGAAAGTAGCCAACATAATCAAATACCCCTCCCACCATGTTTATATGCTCTTTCACCCTCTTCCAGCAGGCAGAATATGCTCCAGCAACTTATTTTCTTGACTCCCTCAATATTCTGGGATAGATCCCATCAGGTCCTGGGAACTTTCTACCTTAATACTTTTGAAGACTCACAACACCTCTTCCTTTTTAATAGCAACTTAGCTTAGAGACTTGATACTCCCCTCCCTGAGATCATCCTCCACCAATTCCTTCTCTTTGGAGAATACCGACACATAGTATTCATTTAGGACCTCACCTACCTCTTCTGGCTCCACACATCGATTCCCTCCTTTGCCCTTGAGAGGTCCAACCCTTTTCTTGGCTATCCTCTTGCTTTTTATAAATGTATAAAGCGCCTTGGAATTCTCCTTAATCCTGTTTGCTAATGACTTTTCATGACCCCTTTCAGCCTTTTTAATTCCTTGTTTAAGTTCTTTCCTACATTCCCTACATACTTCGAGGACTTCGTCAGTTCCCATCCTCCTAGACTTTCCATATGCTTCCTTTTTCTTTCTGACCAAGGTCATAACATCCCTGGTGTTCCAAAGTTCATGTAACTTGCCATACCTATCCTTCATTCTCACAGTAATACGCTGCTCCAAATTCTTATCAGCTGCCGTTTGAAATACTCTCACATGTTCGATGCAGATTTATCCTCATACAGCCGCCTCCAATCAAAATTTTCCAGTTCCTGCCTAATATTGTTATAGTTCGCTTTCCCTTAGTTTAACACCTTCACTCGAGGACTGCTGTCACTATCCATGAGTATCTTAAAACTCACAGTATTGTGGTCACTACTCCCCCACTGAAACTTCACTCACCTGACCGGGCTTATTTCCCAGGTCCAGTATAACTCCTTCAGGGTATCAGGGATGAGCTGGCAAGATGAATACAGATGGATACCGAACTGGCTTAATCGTAGGAGACAGAGGGTAGTGGTGGAAGGATGCTTTTCAGAATGGAGGGCTGTGACTAGTGGTGTTCCACAGGGATCAGTGCTGGGACCACTGCTGTTTGTGATCTACATAAATGATTTGGAGGAGAACATAGCTGCTCTAATTAGTAAGTTTGCAGATGATACAAAGATTGGTGGAGTTGTGGATAGTGGGGAGGATTGTCAGAAGATACAGCAGGATATAGATCAGTTGGAGGCATGGGCAGTAAAATGGCAGATGGAGTTTAATCTGGACAAATTTGAGGTGATGCATTTTGGAAGGTCAAGTACAGGCAGAAATTATACAGCGAATGGCAGGTCCACAGATCACTGAAGGTGACAGCACAGCTCGATAAGATTGTAAAAAAGGCTTATGGCATGCTTGCCTTCATTGGAAGGGGCATTGAGTATAAGGATAGGCAAGTTATGCTGCAGCTTTACCGAGCTTTAGTTAGGCTACACATGGAACATTACGTAAAGTTCTGTTCACCACGCTATCAGAAGGATGTGGATGCTTCGGAGAGGTACAGAAAAGGTTTACCAGGATGTTGCCTGGTTTGGGGGATTTTAGCTATGAAGAAAGGTTGGATAGACTGGGTTTGTTTTCTCTGGAATGCAGAAGGTCGAGGGGCAACCTGATAGAAGTTTATAAGATTGTGAATGGCATGGACAGACTGGAAAGTATGAGGCTTTTTCCCAGGGTGGAGGTGTCAATTACTAGGGGGCAGAGGTTCAAGGTGTGAGGAGTGGGTGGAGTTTAAAAGATGTGCAAGGCAAGTTTTTCACACAAAGGGCCTGACATGTGTTGCCAGAGGAGGTGGTGGATGCAGACACAGTAGCAGCATTTAAGAAACACCTGGATGAATACATGAATAGGAGGGGAGTAGAGGGATACAATCCTGTAAGTGAAGACTTTTAGTATAGAAGGTCAAAATGTGGTAGCGCAGGAGGGCCAAAGGTCCTGTTCCTGTGCTGTATTGTTCTTTGTTCTGGAATATAGGAATGTTTAAAAACACATAACAACAGATTTAAGAACAGCATTCTCCCCGCTGTTATCAGACTTATGCACAGACCCCTCATATATTAGAGTTGATCTTTCTCTGCACCTTCTCTGTAACTGTAACACTATATTCTACATTGTGTCCTATTACCCTGATATACTTATGTATGGTATGATTTTTCTGATTAACATGCAAAACAATACTTTTCACTTTATCTTGGTACATGTGACAATAATAAATCAAATCAAATCAATGCAGTGCAACCATGTTTGTCTCCCTGGCTAATCTTTAAACGTTTGCAGAAAGACACAGCACCAGGAGGAAAGGCAGCAATATTTATGTCTTAAGAACTGACTGTATCATCAAAGGTCTCGAAGCCCATTCCTTCTGGAAACCATCAATACACCAAATTGACCTCCTGATAATGTGACTACAATTGTGTGACCTGCAGAAAGTTATTTTCTTCAAGAGAATCTGAAACAACTTTGGTAGATGACTTTGGCTGTTGAGTTCACCAAGACTACACTTAAAGATACTATTATATCAGGACTGCCTTATGTAAAAGACAAGATAATCTTGTGAGTTACAAACTATTCCTTCTGGTTATTACCAGTGAGAGTGCACTGTTCTCTTCAACTCCACTTTCCTGAGTGTGTTTGTACGTGTGACTCTTAGTGATGAGTATTAGACTGTTAGCATGAGTACAGGAGCAAAGATGTCTTGCTGCAGTTGTATACAGCCTTGGCAAGAACGTACCTGGAGCACTGTGTACAGTTTTGATCTCCTTATCTAACAGATAACAAATAATAATATGGGGAATGCAATGCAAGTTCAGCAAACTAATTTGCCAGAAGGCAAGATTGGTTCACAAGATTTGGGTAACTGGGTCTGTATTCTCCAGAGTTTTTAAGAATATGTAGATATTTTCCTAATCAACTTGGTCAGATGGTGGACTTGAACTTACAAAATTCTTACAACGTGCAATAAAGTGAACATGGATAGGTTTTTGTTTTCCTGATTGGTGACTCTAATAATATCAGGATAAGGGGTCAGCTTTTTAGGACTGAAATGAAGAGGAATTTCGTCACTTGGAGGGTGGTGAGTCTTTGAAATTCTCTAGCCCAGAGGGCTGTGCAAGCTCAATCCCTGAGCAAGTTCATGGTAGAAATTGATAGGTTCCCGAAGACTAATGATATCAGAGGATATATGGATAGTGTGGGGATAGTGCAGAGAAGTGGTGTTGATGTAGAAGAACAGCAATGATCTAACTGACTGGCAGAGCAGATTCAATAACACACATACAGAGACAAGCACCTACATACAAGTGCACACACAAAAAAATTCTATATACCTAACATATGTAAACATTCATGCACAGCTACATAGATCCAGAAACATACAGAATGCCTACATATGTTGATGTCACTCACCGGAATGTAACCTCTGCTAAACTGTCCACCATGATCCTGAATGTGAATGTATGAGGTCTGTCAACAAGAACCGTGCCAGACAAATTAATAAACTGTGGATCTGTTAGAGGGTGCATGGTGTCAGCTACTAACTCAGTTTCTATGCTCTGCTTGCTCACCGGATTCACTGCCATTAACTGTAAAAAGAAAGCACAGTAAAATGTTACAGGCTAGAATCCAGGCAAGAGGTTTGGGATGCCTGTGACTAAGCTACAGGCTGGAATTTAATCAAGGAATTTCAGCGGTTTCTTTATAGCGCGTGGTGGGGGAATACATTACACACCAGACTGATTCGTGGGATGACAGGACTGACATACGAGGAAAGACTGGATCGACTGGTCTTGTACTTGCTGGAAATTAGAAGAATGAGGGGAGACTCACTGGAACATATAAAATCCTCATGGGACTGGACAGGCTAGATGCAGGAAGGATGTTCCCGATTTTGGGGAAGTCCAGAAATAGGGATCACAGTCTGAGAATAAGGGGTAAGCCATTCAGGACTGAGATGAGGAAGAATTTCTTCACCCAGGGAGTTACAAACTTGTGAAATTCAATGTGATGAGACTACGTACTCGAGGCAGTGTGAAACACCAGGCAGGATTAATGCTTGGAAGCAACAAACAAAAGATTCAGGAACAAGAGGTCATCATCACTCAGTCAAAACAGTAACTATGAACACAGCAGGCCAAGCAGCATCATAAGAGCAGGAAGGCTGACGTTTCGTGAAGGGTCTAGGCCCGAAATGTCAGCCTTCCTGCTCCTCTGATGCTGCTTGGCCTGCTATGTTCATCCAGCTCTACACCTTGTTATCTCAGATTTTCCAGCATCTGCAGTTCCTACTATCTCTGATACAACAGTAACTATGATTAGTTTTATGCAATGCATTGACTTAACAGCAGATTATAGGAGACAGGAGGCAAAACTGTCAGAGAGAGGGGTCATTAATCATGAAAGGGACAGAGATAGCAGGAATGGGAACAAAATGATTGAATGCAGAGATTGGATTTTTCCCAGGGATAATGAATTGTACAGGCCTGACATGGTAATGTTTCTCAACTCACTAAGGATCAGGCCCAGGCCTTAGTGTGTGCAAAGGGTTCCCGCCTGGCACAGAGCCAGGAACAGCAGCAGAGAGCTCCATTTTTGTCACACTCACCTTGAGCCTGTAGGTTGCTGGTTGTTTGAAGATCACCTTGTAGATTTGTCCACTGTAGACAAACAGCTCCATATTGTCAATCACCCAGGTGAAACTGACAGAGGTGCCATGAGTAACCTGTGCTGAAAATACCTGTAACGAGAGGCTTGTTACAGAAAGTAATAAATTTGTTGCAGAAATCTGGACAGGGTCCTCTGCTCATCACTTTAACTGTGCTGACATATCACATCCTCTTCCCCACTGATCTCCTGAGACAACCTCTACCTCACTATTCAACTGTGGGAATGATATCACATCAAAACATCCACTCCTTGCACTGTACCAGGGCTACAGCCTATACTATGAACCACAACAAACCACTGAGGTTTCTTTGATGAGTTTCTGTGTTCTATGTTCTAACTTGGACTTAGCCAAAAAGAAGCACCTCTCAGATCTGCCAAATCTACCTCCTCTGACAACCTTTACAAGTTAGAAGGAGCATAGCAGCCAGTAGGTGGGAGCAGCAACAACTCCAAGTCAAATCCCAAAGTGAACAAGTGTCACGGTTTGTCATTGTCATGGGATCAAAGTCCTAGAGTTGCCTTTCTCCCTGACAGTATTATGGGGAGCATTTTCAAGAAAATGGCATAGCCCAATCTTGTCAACAGTGACCGTACCCAAGGTGGCATTATCAATTTTGCTGTTGTTGATGATGTCCAAATGGAGAATTCATTAGAAAAAACCTTCTTCCTCATCCAAGATGCACCTTCCCATATTGCCTATGAGTATTGTGTATTTAAGTATGGTCATGTTAAGAGTCCAATCACATGATGTGACAATGACACCATTGGCCATTCTGGGCAGGAAGAAGCTCAGTCTAATCTTACTGCCTTTAGAGTGAACATCTCATTTTTAAAAGCTCTTGTTCTTTTAAACACTACGATCCCTAGACATTCTTCAAACATAACACCAGATGACGACGAGGATGAGTTACAGTCAGTTAAAAAAAATTTAATTCCCACCAGTGAAGAGGTTAACAATGCAGAAGAAGTTCACAATGTGCTCCACACTAAAGGAACACTGGGAGCAATGAGGGAAATGTTAGAAGTACAGACTCAAAGAAACAGGCAGCCTCAGGAATACTTTGTTTTAAACAGGAAGAAGAAAGGCAGTCCTAAAATTTTCATGGTGCATCATGTTGCGCAGGACCTATAACAAAAAAATAACAAGAAATTTTGGCACTGTGGGATAGTATTGATGAAAGTACAGAGAGCTGGAACTCCTGCACAGAGAGATTTGATTATTCTGTTCATGCCAACAAAATTGAAGCAGATATTGTCGTGATAGTAGGAACTGCAGATGCTGGAGAATCCGAGACAACAAGGTGCAGGGCTGGATGAACACAGCAGGCCAAGCAGCATCATAGGAGCAGAGAGGCTGACGTTTCGGGCCTAGACCCTTCATCAGAAAAAGATATTGTCGTTCCTGCATTCCTGCGTATTATGGAGGGGAGAAACTTTTAACCTCCTTGTGGAGTCTGTTATAGCCAGAAAAGCCTGTTCAAAACCTTATGAAGAAATAGTAGGAATCCTCCAGAACTGTTTTCCACTAAAACCACTGGTGATCGCTGCAATGTTCAGATTCACAATACAACCAATATGATGGTGAATCTATCTCCCAGTTTGTAGCAATTCTAAAAAAGTTAGCAGAATTCTGTAAATTCAGACACAACTCAAATTATGCTGTCAGTGACAGACTGTTGTGTGGTTTAAGATGTGAAGTAATCCACAGAGATTACTGACAGAATGGACCTTAGACTTAAAGCCACATCTGGAAATAGCAGTCTCCATGGAAATAATAGCCAAGGAAACTCAACAGCTAAGGTCGAGCATGACAGCTCACAAAACGGCAACTGAATGAGTTCACAAAATGTTGATTAGTTGATTAGTAAATGTGGAGATGACACAAAGATTGGTGGACTAGTGGATAGTGAGGAAGCTAATCAAAGGATACAGCAAGATAAAATCAGTTGGAATGTTGGGCAGAGAAATGGCACATGGAGTTTAATCTGGTCAAATAGAGAGACAATGGAGTGCAGGTTCATAGTTCCTTGAAAGTGGAGTCGCATGTAGACAGGTTAATGAAGAAGGCGTTTAGTACACTTGCCTTTATTCATCAGTGCATTGAGTATAGGAGATGAGAGGTCATGTTGCAGCTGTACAGGACATTAGTTGGGGCACTTTTAGAATACTGCATTCAATTCTGGTCTGCCTGCTATGGAAAGGATGTTGTGAAACTTGAAAGGGTCCAGAAAAGATTTACAAGGATGATGTCAGGGTTGGAGGGTTTGAGCCATAGGGAGAGGCTGAATAGGCTGGGGTTATTTTCCCTAGAGGGTCGGAGACTGAGGAGTGACCTTATAGAGGTTTATAGAACCACGAGGGCATGGATAGGGTGAATAAACAAGATCTTTTCCCCAGGGTAGGGGAGTCAAAAACTAGAAGGCATAAGTTTAAGGTGAGAGGGGAAAAATTTAGAAGGGACCTAAGGGGCAACCTTTTCACAGAGAGGGTGGTGCGTGTATGGAATGAGCTGCCAGAGGAAGTGGTGGAGGCTGGTACAATTACAACATTTAAAAGGCATTTGGATGGGTATATGAATAAGAAGGATTTAGAGGGACATGGACCAAATGCTGGCAAATGGGACTAGATTCATTTTCGATATCTGGTCGGCATGGATGAGTTGAACCAAAGGGTCTGTTTCCGTTCTGTACGTTTCTATGAATCTGAGTGTCAGATGATGCATTTTGGGAGATAAAATGCAACAGAAAAGTAGATAGTTAATGGCAGGACCCTTAGAAGCATTGATGTACACAGGGATCTCAGGATCCAGGTCCATAGCTCCCTGAAAGTGGCAACAAAAGTGGATAAGGTGGTAAAGAAGGTGTACGGCATACATGCCTTCATTGTCCAGGGCACTGAGTTAAAAGTTGACAAGTCATGCTGCAACTATATAAGACTTTAGTTAGGCTACAATTGGAGTATTGTGTACAGTTCTGGTTGCCACACTATGGGAAGGATGTGGAGGCTTTGTCAAAGGTGCACAATGGATTTACCAGGATGTTGCCTGGATTGCAGCGTATTAAGAGAGTTTGGACTGTGTTTGCTAGAGCATTGGATGTTGAGAGGCAACCTGAGAGAAGTATATAGAATTATGAGAGGAATGGATAGGGTAGATAGTTGAAGTCTTTTCCCCAGGGTGGAAATATCAAACACTCAGAGGGTGAAAAGTTTAAAGAAGACGTGTGAGGAAAGTTTTTTACACAGAGGGTGGTAGATACCTATAACGTGCTGCCAGTGTAGAGCAAAGTTTAAGAGGTATTTAGACAAATCCATGAACAAGCAGGGAATAGAGGGATATGGAGCATTTGAAGGCAGATGGCATTAATTTAGAATGGCATTTTGTTTGGCACAGAAATGGTGGGCCTAAGGTCTTGTTCCTATGTTGCAATGTTCTATGTTTTATGTTCTATGACTGAGAGACAAGCACCAATGGAGACTCAGAACTGCCATCAGATTGGGATACCAGGTTATGCAGCAGGAAATTGTTGGTATATAGAAGCTGTAAGCAGAAACTGGAAATGGGAAAATCAACGTGAAAGGACCTTCACACAAGCCAAAGAGGTATTATTAAATTCAGAAGTTCCAACCCAAAGTTACTGTTGCAATCAACATGGGATGCATCACCTTATGGAGTGATAGCAGTCATTTCTCACATATTACCCTATGGTGAAGAGCAGCCAATAACTTTTGCATCAAGATGATTAAACAAAACAAACACGAGCTATACACAGATAGAGAAAGAAGCTTTAGGAATCATTTTTGATCAATAACTGTATAACTGGGAATTTACTCTTCTAAGAAACCACATAACATTGATCATAATATTTGGGAATCACACAAGGATACCTTTTCTTGCTGAAAGTTGTATGCAGAGGTGGATGTTGTTGCTCTCAGCTCACACTTACACGATTAAGTATAGCAGCCTAATTTAAATGGGAATGTTGATTGTCTCTCTAGATTACCTTTGCCAAATGAGTCAACTACAGAAATTTTCCAATTCGATTAAGTAGAGAGTACTCCAGTAACACAGGACAAGTTTAGAAGTACACTAGAAATGATCTACTAATATCAAAAGTGATGTTCATGGTAATTTGTGGCAAATCACAGGAACTACTCCAGAACTGAAGACATATGTCACACGGAAGCTGGAAATATCTGTACAAACAGGATATCTCCTATAGGGAATGAGGGTCATCATTCCACCACAGCTAAGGAAATATGTGTTAAATCAATGACAAAGGTCACTGTGGCATTTCAGAATGTAGGAAATAGCTAGAATCCATTTTTGGAGGCCAGTGTTTGGCTCTGAAATAGAGAAGATGCAAATATGTGCAGTTTGCCAAAGCTTTCGCAACCTATCTCCATTAACACCATTACGCTCATGAAAATGGCCAGATAGGCCTTGACAAAGAATCCATATTGACTACATCGCATCTTTCTGAACGGTGAATATTTCTCCTAGTAGTTGTTGCCCATGCTAAATGGCCGGAAGTCACCATCATAAAGACGATATCAGAGAAAGACTAGAGGTGATCTTCGTGAGGGTTGGTTATCTGGAACAATGTGTTAATGATAAATGTCATCAGTTCTTATTACAAGGGTCTATGGACTATCTAAAGCAGAATGGAATTCAACACAACGATCAGCTCCTTACCACCCAGTCACAAATAGTTTGGCAGATAGGTTTGTTCCGACAATGAAACATTCCTCAAAAGTAACTTGAGGACAAGGATCACTGTCCAAATGACTGAGTCAATTTTTGTTGATACTGAAATACAACTCACTGAATGAGTACACCTAAAAACACCAGATCTTAAAGTCAACAAGAAAATAAAGACACCTGACGTGCATCTAGTACTTCAGGACTGTGAAGGGTACAAACCCAAAACATTGACTTTCATGCTCCTCTGATGCTGCCTGACCTGCTGTGTTCCTCCAGCTCCACACTGTATTGACTCTGACTCCAGTATCTGCAGTTCTTGCTATTTCCTAGTGGGAGAGCTCTTGACTGTTAAATCCAATAACACAGTGGCCACTGAGCCATACCCACCCTCCTCCTCCCTCTCCCCAAAACATCCATCTCCTGACCCCTCCCCCTCCCCAACACAACCACCCACCCTTCTCCATCACACCTACCCAACACCTCCCATCATATCCACCCACGCCCTCCCTGACACAAGAAGACAGGCTGACAGGAAAACAGTCTACATTTCGAGTTCACATTTCCCACCTCGGTGTGTCTGGGTCCCGAGCCTCCTGCTCTCAGGTCACTCAGTCCATTAGAGAGCAGCAGCTGTTAACCTGCCTGAGAACATTCCCTCTGGTTTCTGATCCACAAAGAAGCAACAGGTTCAATCTGAGAGTAGAAATTGTTGGAATCTGACACACTGCTATCTGCAGTGGCTGAGTGCATCTGTTTCCATTCAGCAGTGGTAACTGTGTTTCACTTTTCCATCTCCTCACCTGGGTACCTTGTGACCATTTGTGATAGCCACATAGTTAACAGTGGACTGGAAATGAGGTCCACCTAATCCTAACACTTGATGCCTCTGTACACCTGAGCTCATTCTGAACTATCCTAATATCCCTTATGTGGCTCAGTATTAGGGTTTAGCTGATAAAGCTCCAAAAGTCAAAAAGTTTTTACATCATGGAAAAATGCTCTCAGTCCATCATGTCCTCACCAGTCACAAAACATTTAGCTAATTTAATCCCATTTTCTAGCACTTGGCCCATAACCTTATATGCTGTGCCAATGCAAGTGCGCATCTAAATAGTTGAAGGTTCCCAGTTCTGCCACCCTTTCAGGCAGTGAATACCAGATATCCACACTCTCTGATTGAATTTATTTCTCCTTGGTTCTGCTCCTTACCTTAAAACCACACGCCTAGTTATTGACCCCTCTACAAAGGAGAAAGGTTTCTCCCTATCTATCCTGTCTATGCCCCTCAAAACTCTGTACACCTCAATCAGATTCTTCCCTCAACCTTCTCTGCTCTGACAGAAACAACCCCAGCCTATCTAGTCTTTCTTTTTAACTGATTTGCTCCAGGCCAGGCAACATTCTGGTGAATCTCCTCTGCAACCCCTCCAATGCAATCACATCCTTCCTATACTGTAGCAACGAGAATGCCAACTGTGGCCTAACTAACAATGTACAGAGCTCCAGGATAACCTCCTTGCCCTAATTTTCAGTATTTTGACTACTAACGGCAAGTATCCCATTTGCCTTCTTAACCACCTTATTTACCTGTCCTGCAACCTTCAAAGATCCATGGAAATGCACACCAAGGTCCCTCTGATCCTCTGTACTTCCTACAGTCCCGACTTAACATGTATTCCTTTGCTTTGTAGGTTCTCCCAAAATGCATCACCTCATACTTTCAGGATTAAGTTCCATCTGCTCTGTCCTGTTCTGTTCTGCCTATCTGACCAGCCCGCCTCTAGAGTTCTGTAGTCAAAGACTTTCTTCCTTGCTATTTACCACACCACTAATTTCCATGTCAACTGCAAACTTACTGATTTTCACTGCTACATTCATTAATGTACAATAGAAACAGCTAGTGACCCAGCACCAATCCTGCGGAACCCACTGGGCACGGGCTTTCAATCACAAGAGCACTCTTCAATAATCATAGATGACAAGGTGTAGAGCTGGATGAACACAGCAGACCAAGCAGCATCAGAGAAGCAGGAAAGCTGATGTTTCGGGTCTGGACCTTTCTTCAGAAAATCCAGCTCTACATCTTGTTATCTCAGATTCTCCAGGATCAGCAGTTCCTACTATCTCTCTGCAATAATCATCTTCTGTTTCCTGCCACTGAGCCAATTTTGGATCCAATTTGCTAAATTGTCTGGATTCATGGGCTCTTAGCTTCTTAACCAGCGTGCCGTGCAAGATCTTGTCAAAAGCCCTTCTGAAGTCTGTGTAGACTACATCAAATGTACCCACATCTACACATCTAGCCACTTCCTCAAAAAATTCAATCAAATTTGTTAGACATGCTCTCCCCTTGACACAGCCTGAAGGCTATCCCTGATTAATCCGTGCCTCTCCAAGTGGAGACTAAATCTGTCCCTCAGGCTTTTTGCCAATTGTTTCCCTATCATAGTTTCCAGGTTTATCCTTATCATCCTTCTTGAATAATGGTACTAGTTTAAAATGATTTACAAAAGAAGCAAAGGTGGAATGATGAAAAACGTTTTCACACAGTGAGTAGTTAGAGTATGGAATGCAGTGCCTGGAAGTGTTGTAGAGCCAGATTCAATTGAGGCAATCAAGAGGCCATCAGACAATTATTTGGATAAAAATAATACACAAGGGTATGGGGGAAGAGGTAGGAGATTGGCACTGGTAGTGATGCTCAGTTAAGAAGTTGGTGTAATACAATGGGCTGAATAGCCTCCTTTTGCAATGTGACACTTCTGTAATTAGCTGTCCTTCAGTCCTTTAGCACCTCTTCTGTGGTCAGAGAGCATTTGAAAATTAATGCCAGAGTCCCTGAAATCTCCTCCCTTGCCTCCCACAGCAGCCTCGGATACGTCTTAATTATGCCTGGGTATTTATCCATTTTGAAACTAGCTAAAACCATTAATACCTCTTCCCTTTCAATGCTAATGAATTCAAGTGTAACACAGTCCCTCTCCTTGATTTTTATACTTACATCATTCTTCTCTGCTTTGAATACAAATCTAAAGTCCTCACTTCAGACCACAGGTGTATCTTTCAGATCCACACACACATTCCTACATTCATCCCTAATGGGCCCTGCTCTTTCACTTGTTTTTTTTTTCACCCTTAATATACTTATAAAATATAGCTGAATTTTCCTTAATCTTACCCGCCAGTTTTTGTTCATGTACCCCCTTCATTCCTTAATTTCTTTTTTTAAGCAACCCCTTGCCCTCTCTATACACCATTAGGGCATTTACTGATTTAAGCCTTTGGTGTCTGCCATTTGCTTTTTTACCCCTTGTCCAAATCCTGTGTGTCCTTTCACATTCTGTGTTCTCTGGATTGATCCCACCCTTCACTTTTACAGAAACATGTTGGCCCTGCACTCTCTATTACCATTTTAAATGTCTCCCAATATTCTGATGCAGACTTTCCCACGATAGCTACTCCCAGTCCAACTTTGGACAGATCTTGTCTTAAAATCCATCCTCCCCCAGTGCAGAACCTCTATTTCTGGTCCATTTTGTCCTTATCCATAATTATCTTAAATCTTATCGAGTTGTTATGGTCACTATCACTGAAATGCTCCCCCCTCCACTGACACATCTACCATTTACTCGGCCTTATTTCCTAAAATTATATCCTCCACCATTCCTTCTCCTGTAGGACTTTCTATGTGCTAGCTTAAAAAGCCCTTCTGAACACAATGAAGCACTTTGAAATGGCTTATTACACTAAAGGAACTGGTGAAATACTTCCGGACTGAGACATCTTTCCTTCTCTCTTTATAGAGTCTAGTCTAAAAGTGAGCCCTCCAAATGCTTTTGAGGGCGACCATACCTGTGAGACATCCACCAGTATGCGTCTGGGTTTCCTGGGGACAATCCGGAGCCCCTGGATCACATCATAGGCCTGGATTTCGACAGATGTGTTCTGGGAGCTGACTTCATTGCTCACAGTGATATTCAGTATCTCTAACCTGGGATGGGTGACGGTAAAGTGGGCGTACGAGAACCATGTATCGCTGGTCTCTCTGTGGCAAGCTGGCATATACTGAGGTAGACTGGGTGGACAGTAGGCATCGAAGAAGACTCCTGACTGTCGGACTGGAGGACCCCACCAGGAGCTGGCATTGCTGCCAGAGTTGATCTTGATCACAATGAGCACCTCATTTCCAGTTGGGACCAGGAGAGTGCCATTATGTGGCCAGGGGTAGATGATTTGCAAGCCAGTGATTGTCGTCCACATGCCCAGTGGGCAGCAGTTGATTGCTGTGGGGTTGACTCTGTTTACTGGGGTTACCAGGTGTGTGTCTGGCACGGTAGTGAGGGACTGGGCGGGAACAATCGGCTGTGGCTGGTCTGTATACAGGACGCGCACATCGCAGACAACGTTATCGAACCATTTGGGGCTGGGCCAGGTAGGCTGGAAACCAACCAGTAAACTTTCCAGCCAGCCCTGCCGCACCAGGCTGATGTAGCTCTGTCGCCAGGGTGATGTTGAGCTGGACAGGCAATGCAACAGAGAGTTCGGACCCGCATCATGCTGAAAACCAATCACATCATCTGGATAAACACGAACATCCTGGTCACCCAGCATCACCTGAAACAGAGCAAGAGTCCATTACATCACCAAGCAAGCAGCCAATCAGGAGCAGCACCAGAAAGTAACATCGCCAGGCAAACCCACCAATCACAAGCATACTAATGAATGAGCACAGAAGAATCTAACCAATCAGGAGCAAAAAAATTGAGTGAACCACAGAATTAACTAAGCAGACACTGTTGTCATTGAGCTCTCCATTGGACAAATCCAAACATAGGACTAACTAATCAGAATCACAACAACGTAGACAAACAGGAGGCTGGAAAAACACAGCAAGCCAGGCAGCATCAGGAGGAAAGGAGGTCAATGTTTTGGGTATTACCCTTCTTCAGAACTGGAATCACAACAATCATTGGCTTGTACTGTGGTGCAGACAATCAGAACTGTGAATGGGTTAATTGCAACAGTGAACAGACTGAAATGTGGCACTGATCAATTTCAGTATATTTCACCCAATCAGTAAAGCAGCCTTCCACCACACATATTGGGCATGTGGTCTATTGGGATGCTCCAAAATGCCCACCTTGCCTGTACTGGCTCTCTGAAGGAGCAAATCACTGTATCCCATTCCCCCCTCTCCTGCTGAACCTTCTCTCCATGACATTGCACATTTTTTCTTTTCAAGTAGGGGTCCCATTCCTTTGTGAATGGCTCAATGGAATCTACTTCTATCACCCTCCCATGCAGTGCAGTCTAGACCTTAATTACTTGCTGTGTGAGAAATTTCTGGGACTGTATCACACTGTGTTACAGTACTGGTGGGGACAGGTCTGTAACTGTATAACACTAGGCTACAGTATGGGTGGGGACAGGTCTATAACTGTATAACACTGGGCTACAGTACTGGTGGGGACCGGTCTGGCACTGTGCAACACCAGAGTGTTCAATTGAATTGCTGTATTTGGAAACAATGCCGGAAAGAAAGAGAAAGATTAGTAATAACTAGAAGTGAAGCTCCTTCTGAACATAACTTCGTCTTGCACAGAACCAATGCTATTCTTCAGATTGTCTGCCTGACATGCATCATGTGAACAAAGGAGAGAATAAGAATAGCCTGACTTACATTTACATGCACAATGTTGAGGTCAGGGCTGATGATCATTGCTATATCTGCCACCTGGGAGTAATATGGCTGTGTCCCTTTGTATCTGGGAGGGTTAGCGATTGGCAGGATGTTGGTTGTGATGTTTTCAAACGCATATGAACTGCAGGGGCTGGTGATGGGCAGACACCTTTCCTGTAAGTGGCACCATTGATGTCCGTTGTTGCAACCTCCTGTGGTGTTGCATAGTGGCTGTGTGTCACAGGTAGCAAAGGGAGTACGGAGCCACTCGCAGCCTGAGGAACAGAAGTACAGCTTCAGATGCACCATAAACATCACTGAAGAGACTAAGATTGGGAACACAGAATCAGCTGTTCAATTGTTCCACTAAACATCTTTCAAACAGTATCTTGTAACTGTATGGCATCTACAACATTGTCAGAGATGCCAAATAGCTTCAGAGCAGAGAATTCACTGACAACTGACACAGTCATAAAAAGGAAACACTTAAAACAGATGAGCAAAGACTTGGCCACAACGGTAGGTTTATAAGGAATGACATAAATGTGAAGAGGAATGTGGAGAGTCAAGGAGATTTAGATAGGGAGATTTAGCATTTGGAACTAGCAGACTGATGCTAATGATGGGCCTAAGGAATCACAAAAGAATCAGACAAACATCATGTTCTCAGACAGTGGCAGGAGGCCTTAGTGATGGGAAGATTGCAGTCATGCAAGAAGCATGAGATCAGAATTTTAACATCTAACAGGCAGTCAGTCGAAATGAAATGCAGTAGAGTGAACAGGGTTCTGAGTGTTAGGACACAGGGCGATGGTGGTTTTATTCCAATGAGTCGAAAGGTCATGGTTTGTTGCTTAAAAAGGGCTTCTTGTCATTGGAAACTCTTAAAAATAAGTTGTTCTTAGAGTATTGGCAAAGTAACATCCATCCTGAAACTTCCTGAACCAGAGCGTTGAGTGTTAAGTGCTTTCCAATTGGCCTATTCAGAGACATTCTGTCTAGAGCAGGTAGGACATGAACCCAGGCCTCTTGGAGCAGAGGTAAAGACACTACCACTGCACTACAAGGGCCCCCATTCTGAGTTAACCATCTTGTCTAGTATAAAAACCATCTGAACCAGAATCTGGACTGCTCACCAACACTACAGGAGATCTCTCAATCTAATAACAATAGAAAATGTAAACACTACAATGTTAAACATAATAATGGTCAGTTTATCATCGTGATAATTTTAATTGGAAAGGACAAATACAAAAATGAGTGGTTATGCAGTGTCCCAAAAGCTCTGATCATCTTTGGACTCCTGTGATCAATTCTGTATGTTAAGGATAATGCTTACTTAGTGTTGTGGATTTCTGCTGCCCCAAACGGCAGCGAACAAAATAGTTAGCTTCAAAGAACAAAGAACAAAGAAAATTACAGCACAGGAACAGGCCCTTCGGCCCTCCAAGCCTGCGCCGATGCAGATCCTCTATCTAAACCTGTCGCCTATTTTCCAAGGATCTGTACCCCTCTTCCCTTTCTTTCCTTTTGTGCCACCTCTTCACCTCATTGTTAAGGTGTTTGGGCACAAAATGTGACGCAATTTGATGGTCCAGTGGTAGCCATGACGACTGATAAGGAGTAAGCTCCTCCCAGTCATTCATGTCAATGTTACCATGCTTCAAGGAGAGAGTCAAGGTGTCACTGGAGCAATTCCTTTTTTTTGTCCTCTCCCGAAACGCTGGCCAATTGAAAATTGGGAAAGTGTGACCTGGTGAGGTAGAGGTTTTCCAGACTTCAGATGCAGTGACTAGTCCATTGTAATCAGTTTTGCAGGAGTTTTGCCAAATACTTCTCAGGCTGACTTCAAGCAGTGCACCAGACAGCAGTTGATCTTTCGAAGGGATGAATAGCCACTGTCGGGTAGATTATAAACAACATGGAGATTTTGCAAAAAGAATTCTATCATAGAATGTAGCCAACATGTGTTGCCCATCCTTAAGTGCCTTTGAACAAAGTTGCTCACTCAGCCATGTCATTGGATAGTTCAAAGCCAATCACATCATTGTGGATTTGGAGTCACATGTTGTATTGTGGCATAGGCTCCAGGCCAGGCACATTTAAGATAGTTACATGACATTACACAATGTGACATTCTGGTATAAAGATATCTGCTTCACTTTCACTCACTCTGTGTAAATTGATGTAGTCAGCACATTATATGTGTGCAATGTATAGTAATATCAATAAACTCATATTAGAATTATGTGGAGGTCTCTGGTATCATAGTCTATATAGTTAATATTGTAAATAAATTTCAAGACATCTGTCTCACAAGAACTTGACTCTTTGTGGTATATACAAACATTGTTACACTTCACGGGAAATCCAGACCCACTATTCGTGAAATCATCACTAAAGTTAAAGATTTTTAAAAAGTACATTGAATTCCTCAATTTACCTGACTTTCAGACCTATGTTGACATATAACATGGAACAGGTTTCTGTATGTACCAAGGGCTACTATTTATGGCAAATAAGAAAGAACAAAGAACAAAGAAAATTACAGCACAGGAACAGGCCCTTTGGCCCTCCAAGCCTGCGCCGATCCAGATCCTCTATCTAAAACTGTCGCCTATTGTCCAAGGATCTGTATCCCTCTGCTCCCTGCCCATTCATGTGTCTGTCTAGACACATCTTAAATGACGCTATCGTGCCCGCCTCTACCACCTCCACTGGCAACGCATTCCAGGCACCCACCACCCTCTGCATAAAGAACTTTCCACGCATGTATCCCTTAAACCTTTCCCCTCTCACCTTGAAATCGTGACCCCTAGTAATTGAGTCCCTCACTCTGGGACAAAGCTTCTTGCTATCCACCCTGTCTATACCTCTCATGATTTTGTAGACCTCAATCAGGTCCCCCCTCAATCTCCGTCTTTCTAATGTAAATAATCCTAATCTACTCAAACTGTCTTCATAGCTAGCATCCTCCATACCAGGTAACATCCTGGTGAACCTCCTCTGCACCCTCTCCAAAGCATCCACATCCTTTTGGTAATGTGGCGACCAGAACTGTACGCAGTTTGGCTGCAGGTAAATAATTATGAAAATATCAAACATGCCTTCAACCTTAAAACAAGAAATACCATTTCAAAACCATGTTTCATTGCAAAATACGTGATACACAAACCACCAAATACAAGATTTTCATCCATTAAGTCTTCTCCCCTATACAACTTTACATGATCTTTGCCTGTGTTAAACCTTTAAATTATTTCAACACCTTACACTCCAGACAATGCATCTGCAGTTACATTCATTTTCCAGCAATATGATTACACTTTTCATTAAATGGTTGCAACAAAAGTATAGTCTTGCGTTCCAATTTTTAAACTTCAGGATAGATCATTAATTACGACTGTGCAAACTTAAAATATATCCCCTCTGAAGCAAAACACACACACACATTATAAATACATTAAAGGGAAGAGGCTAACTAGGGAAAGAGTAGATAAAAACCGAAAGAAATGCGGATGCTGTAAATCAGGAACAAAAACAGAAGCTGCTGGAAAAGCCCAGCCAGGTCTGGCAGCATCTGTGAAGAAAAAAATCAGAGTTAACGTTTTGGGTACAGTGAGCCTTCCTCAGAACTGATGGCGGCTGGGAAAGAATAGAATCAATTCAGGACCAAGTGTGTGAAGCCACAGGATATTTGAAGGGTGTTGAATGAACACTCCTCTTCGGTGATCATTCTGGAAAAGGAGAACGGAGGTACAGAATTCAGGAAAAGGGACTGTGAAGAAGTTGTACAGCCTGACATAGGAAATTGGGAGGTATTGGAAGCTCTGTTGCGCTTACAAACAAATCTCCTGGCCTGGATGAATTGCATCTCAGGCTGCTGCGGGAGGTGAGGCAGGAAATTGCAGAGGCTCTGACACAAACTTTTAATTCCTCTCCGGCCATAAGGGAAGTGCCAGAGGTCTGGTGCACTCCTAATGTGATTTCACTTTTTAAGAGGGGTGGTAGAGATGAACCAGGAAATTACAGAATCTCACGTCAGTGGGAGGGAAACTATCGGAGTAAATTCTGAAAAAGTGAATTAATATCCACTTGGAAAGGCATGGGTTAAATGGGTCTAATCAGCATGGCTTTGTCACATGGAGGTCACGCCTAAAAAATTTGTTAGAATTTTTTGAAAATGTGTTCGATTGGATGTTCAAGTTCAGTTGATGTAGTTGAAGTGGATTTTAGCAAAACTTTTGACAACGTCCCACATGGGAGATTGATTGAGAAGGTTAAAGCAGATGGAACTGAGGGAAACTTCATAGATCATAGATCATAGAATCCCCACAGTGTGGAAACAGGCCCTTCAGCGCAACAACTCCACACCAACCCTCAGAGCACCCACCCAAACCCACCACCCCTATAACCCACCTAACCTACACATCCCTGAACACTATGGGCAATTTAGCATGGCCAATCCACCCAGCCTGCGCATCTTTGGACTGTGGGAGGAAACCGGAGCACCCGGAGGAAACCCACGCAGACATGGGGAGAATATGCAAACTTCACACAGACAGTTGCCCAAAGGTGGAATCCTGTGCAAATTTAAAATATATCCCGGGTCCCTGGCGCTGTGAGACAGCAGTGCTAACCACTGTGCCACTGTGCTGCCCCAAACTTGGTGAGATGGATCAGAAACTGCTTTAGTAATGGGACACAAAGGGTAGAGGCAGAAGGCTGTTTGAGTGACTGAAGGCTGGTGTCCAATGGTGTACCACAAGGATTAGTACTGGGATCCTTATTGTTTGTTACATACATAAATGGTATAGATCAAAATATAGGGGCAATGTTATGCAAATTTGCAGATGACATCAAGATTAGTAAAGTGGCTAATAGCGAAAAAGAAGATATAGATGGATTGGTCAGCATAAGGGGGGGCAGCACAGTGGCTCAGTGGTTAGCACTGCTACCTCATAGTGCCAGGAGCCCAGGTTTAATTCTAGCCTTGGGCTAACGTCTGTGTAGAGTTTGCACTTTCCCCGTGTTTGCGTGGGTTTCCTCTGGGTGCTCCAGTTTCCTCCCACAGTCCAGAGATTTGCAGGTTAGGTGGATTGCCCATGCTAAATTGCCCATAGTATCCAGGAATGTGCAGGCTAGGTAGATTAGCCATGGGAAATGCAGGGCTTTTGGTATAGAGTAGGGAAGAATGTCTGGGTGGGATGCTCTTTGGAGGGTTGGTGTGGACTCGATGGGCCAAATGGCCTGCATTCCACACTGTCAGGATTCTATGAATCGTACCCCGCACAGCAAAAAAGTGCACTTTGGAAGAAGAAACAAGATGAAGGAGTATTTAATAAATGGCTGGATACTGGTAGCTTAGTGGAACAGAGGGATCTTGGGGTAATTATTCACAGATCCCTGAAGTTGGCAGAGCACATGAATAGGATAGTTAAGAATGCATATAGGACACTTGCTTCCATCAGTCTTATAGAGTACCAAGAAGGTAACGTTGGAACTGTACAGAGCGTTTGTCAAGCCACAGCTGGAGTACTGTTGCAGTTCTGCTCACCTCACTACAGGAAGTATGTGATAGCACTAGAGGGGGTACAGAGGATATTCACCAGGATGTTGCCTGGGATGGAGAAATTAAGCTATAAGGAGACACTGGATAGGCTTGGATTGTTTTCTTTACAGCAGAGGAAACTAACGGGGAGACATGATTGAGGTGTATAAGATTATGAAGGTTATGGAGAGGGTGAATAGAGAGCAGCTGACCCCTCAACCAAGGGGAACAATCAGGAGAGGACATAGTTTTAAGAGTAAGGGGCAGGAAATTCAGCAGGGCTTTGGGAAAAGATTTTTCACGCAACAGGTGGCACTGCCTGGGAAGGTAGTGGAGGCTGGAAACCTTACAGCCTTTAAAACAATATTTGGATGAGCTCTTCAAATATCATGACATTGAAGAATATGGGACAAGTGCAGGAAATTGGAATTAACGTAATTTTAGTGGTAGTTATGTCAGTGCAGACTGGGATTGGCTGAAGGGCCTTTTCTGGGCTGTCTGAATCAATTAATCAATGAACTTACATGCACTCAAACAAAGCCGTCAGGACAAGCAGTTCTGAAGAAATATCATAGAGATGGAAAAGATGAACAAATTCTGTGAATCAAGACTTCCTCTTAGTTCTAATGATTTTTGGCAATGAAATCGTGTGATTGTCGACTGTAGAATATCCTTAATTCGGTAGTCAGTCAGTTGGTCCTAAATCTTTGTTTGTGCTAGAAATTCTTCTTTTTGAATTTTTGAGTGCTTTTCCCCACACATGGAGGTTAAGAGAGACAGATGTGGCTTGGCTTGCAGAGTTTCTGGAAGTCTGAGTGAAATTAACCTCTCTCAGTTCTGTGACAAACTGCAACTTAACTGCAAAATTTATTGCTGGGCAGCCTCTCAACACAGAGGCACCTAGTGACACCTTGTCTCACAAAAGTATCAAATTTACCTTGTCCAAAATGTACATAACTTTGTGTAACCAATAAGTGAAGACCATACAGTTTCAATTTTGACCTTCATGCTGTAAGACAAATACTACTTCAATCTCTGCAACACTGAAATGTCCAAACTTCTATCTATCCCAGTTTATATTCATAACACAATGTAGTCCCTATAAAGAAGAAAAACAGAGTAATGGTTAATGGTACACTGGAGCTAGAGAAAGGCTTATAGTGGAGTTCCCTAAGGTGCCTGGTGTTCCTGATAGTGTCATAGAGTTGTACAGCATGGAAACAGACCCTTCAGTCCAACTCTTCCATGCCAACTAAATATACTAAATTAATCTAGTCCCATTTACCAGTATTTGGCCCATATCCCTCTAAACCCTTCCCATTCATGTAGCCATTCAGATGCCTTTTAAATGCTGTAATTGTACCCTCCTCAAGCACTTCCCCTGGCATTATTTTCTGAAACACCACAGAATCTAAATTGGCACAAGATAACAAATAAAGTAGACCAGGCAGCATCAGAGGAGCAGGAAAGCTGATGTTTCGGGTGTGGACCCTTCTTCAGAAATTCCTGAAGAAGGGCCCAGACCCGAAACGTCAGCTTTCCTGCTCCTCTGATGCTGCCTAGCCTGCTGTGTTCATCCAGCTCTACACCTTGTTATCTCAGACTCCAGCATTGGCAGTTCCTACTATCTCACAAATAAAGTAGAGTTTTGTTTTTGCAAAATAACTGACATATGCCTCAACCCTCAAAGAGCCATCGCCCTACAAATTCTTTCCAAACTGGTGATGTTATGCATCAAACACCTCCATTGCACTATCACAGCTCCACTTACACAGAGCTGGAAGCTTTTAACCAGTGAAGTGGTTACTTCCCTTCTACTTTTACCTTACATTTTTACCTTTTCAATGTCAGACTTAAATTTAACAAATTTAACAAATCTACTCTAAAACCTTAAATTTAACAATTGACACATTGTTCATTTCAATAACAACCACCGTACAATATCTCACCAACAACAATACAACACCAACAACCACCACTATACAATATCTCCTGAGCCTAAGTGGCCTTAAGCTGGAGATTCTACATTAACCTGCAAGGAATTCATTCCCTCAGTGATTTCAGTTTTCCATTTATCTGAGTATTCCTTTGACTGGTTTAAAACTCATGAGCCTATCAGTAGAAAGCATATGACAGAATCAGCCTGTGATTGGAGAAGCAGCCACTCTGAGATTTCCCCCCAGTTCCAAACAAATGTGGATCGGTGGGAGGGGGCAAACTTTCTCTGCTTGGTCGATATTACATTCAATTTCTCCTGACATGAAAGGAGCTTTAAGGCACACTGGTTCACAACCCCCACATATTTACTGAAAGGGGGCCAGAAATGAAGACTCTCCTCCTGAAGGGTTGGTGTGCTACCCCCTAGGCCTTGTTTGCTCCATATAATATTGCGGACAGTTTAGAGGCTGGTGAGAGGCCAGCTGGAATGCCACTCGAGGAGTTTTATAAACTACTACACCCTGAGCACACACTATACTCCGCTAGTCCTCCAGACAAGCTGTAAAATTCTACCTGCCTTCTTAACCTTGTTAACCTGACAACTCTTTGAGAATCATTTGTTTTTCTGATTCTGCTCCCTGTAAGCCCCAATTTCACCCTTGCTTCAACCATCTAGACATGAAACACTAGACACATTCTCAAAAGCCTCTTTCTCTCTCTTCACAACATTATTTTAAATCTGCTCATTGATAATGCTTTTTGACATCCATCTGAATACATTCTGAAAAGTTTGTTGTAAAAATGTTATCTGATTAGATTCCCATTAACCTCACCGAGATAGTTAAAGATGATATGTATAAAAAGCTAGCATATTGTTCTGTTTCTCTCTTCATTAAGATTGAATTAAAAACCACATGTGGGATCCAGTTGTCCACTGTCTCTGTTGAGTATCATAGCCATAGAGTCGTACACCACAGAACAGGCCCATCAGCCCATCAAGTCTGCACCAACCTATCAATATTAATCCCACTTTCCTGCACTACACCCATAGTCTTGAATGTTACAACACTTCAAGTGCTCACCCAAGTATGTTTTAAAGGCTGTGAGGTTTCCCCCCTCAACTACCCTCCCAGGCAGTGCATTCCAGACTGCCACTACACAATGGGTGAATTATTTTTCCTCAAACCCCCTCTAAACCTCTTGCCTTTCACTTTAAAATTATGCCCCTTGATAGTAACCCTTCAACTAAGGAGAACAGCTGTTTTCTATCGACCATGTCCATGTCCCTCATAATCTTATACACATCCATCGGGTCCCCCCTCAACCTCTTCTGCTCCAGAGAAAACAACCTGAGCTTATCCAGCCTGTCTTCCTAGCTGGAATGCTCCATTCCAGGCAACATTCGAGTGAACATCCTCTGCACCTACTCCACTGCAATCACATTCTTCCTATAGTGTGGTGACCAGAAGTGCACACAATATGCCAGCTATAGCCTGACTAAGTTCTGTACAGCTTCAACCTCCCTACTCTTATAATCTATGCCTTGACTGATAAAGGCAAGTGCCCTGTATGCCTTATTAACTACCCTAGTAACCCACGCTGCCACCTTCAGGGATTTATGGACAAGCACCCCAAGATCTCTCTGTTTCTCTGTGTGTCCTGCCATTCATTGAGTACTCCCTTGTCTTTTCCTCCTTCCAAAATGCAGCACCTCACATTTCAGGGTTAGGTTCCATTTGCCACTAATCTGCCTAAGTGACCAATCTGTTTACACCTTCCTGTAATCTCTCACCTTCTTCCTCAGTGTCAACAACCCAGCAAATCTTCATGTCATTTGTATACTTATTTATTACTTATTATTATTATTAACTAATGAAAATCCCTTTAGATGCTGTCCAATTAGATCAGCTTGATTAGCAAAGGCTGAGGTCAACATTCACCATGAGAAATGCATTTACTCACAGTCAAGAACAAGTGCCTTCCAGATTTAATTCCAGAAAATCCTTTAATCAGGCACTGCTAGGTATCTCCCCACCAGTCATGACTCTTACCTGGAGGGATGAGGTACAGGCTTGGGATGCAGTAGGGTCTGAATATCTTGAAATGTACCCGAGTGGCTTTCTTTAAAGGCTGGACTACAAATTCAATCGAGTTCACCAGACCTGAGTGGCTGAACCACAAGCCAGGAAACAACATCATCTGTCAAAGAGAGATCCAAAGGAACATGAGCAAGGACCCATCACTCTACACACATATCAACATGCCATAGAGATAAAGACCAACTACAAATGTCATATTGGAAAGTATACTGGCAATTTTACTCTATATCTAAGCCCATGCCCTCCCTGTCCTGGGAGTATTTGATGCGGGTATTGTTGAGACAGCTTTACTTTCAGTTTAAGAGAGTAGAGACAGCTTTACTCTGTTTCTAACCCATGCTGTACCTGTCCTGAGAATATTTGATAGGGACAGTATCAACAGCTTCAGTGTTAAAGAGTAAAGGCAACTTAACTGTGTATCTAACCCCGTACTGTACCTGTCCTGGGAATGTTTGATGGCAACAGTGCCAAAGGAGCTTTTCTTTCCATTTACTTATAGTTTAAAAGAGAAAAGAAAGCTTTACTTTGTATCTAACACCACACTGTACCTGTCCTGGGAGTGTTTGATGGAGACAGTTTTGAGGGAGGTTTATTTTCAGTTTAAAAGAGTAAAGGCAGTTTTACTTTTAGGTTAAAAGAGTAAAGGGAGATTTACTTTCAGTTTAATTTCAGTTAAAAAGAGTAGAGGATGATTTGATCAATTTCTAATCCCATGATGAACACAGCCTGAGATTTTGGAAAGGGCTGGTGCAGGGGCTATTTTATTCTGTATCTATGCCCATTCTGTAGCTGTCTTGGGAGTATTTGATGGGGTTGGTGTCAAGGAACTTTAGCCATAGAGTCATACAATCCTATAGCACGGAGACAGGCCCTTTGGCCCAAACTGGTCCATGCCGACCAAAATGTCCATCCACTCTAAGTCCATTTCCCTGAATGTGGCCCATATCCTTCTAAACCTTTCCTATCCATGTATTTGTTCAAATGCCTTTTAAATGTTGTTAATGTACCTGCCTCAACCACTTCCACTGGCAGCTCATTCTATATGCATACCAGCATCTGTGTAAAAAAGTTGCCCCTCAGGTTCCCATGTATTCTTTCCCCTCTTACCTTAAACTGATGCGCTCTAGTCCTCAGAGATAGTAAGAACTGCTGATGCTGGAGTCAGAGATAACACAGTGTGGAGCTGGAGGAACACAGCAGGTCAGGCAGAATCAGAGGAGCAGGAAAGTTGACGTTTCGGGTTGGGACCCTTCTTCAGGAATGAAGAAGTTCTGAAGAAGGGTCCCGACCTGAAACATCAACTTTCCTATTCTTTTGATGCTGCCTGACCTGCTGTGTTCCTCCAGTTCCACACTGTGTTATCTTGCGCTCGAGTCCTCGATTCCCCAACCCTGGGAAAAAGACTGAGTCCATTCACCCTATCCATACCTCTCATGATCTTATACACTTCTATAAGATCCCCCCTCAGTCACCTACGCTCTAAAGACAAATGTCCCAGCTTGTCCAAACTCCCCCGATAACTCAGTCCCTTGAGTCCTGGCAACATCCTTGTAAATTTCTTCTGCACTCTTTCTAGTTTAATAACATCCTTCCTATAGCAAGGTGACCAAAACTGAACACAATACTCCAAGTGCAACCTCATCAACGTCATGTACAACTGCATCATAACTTGCCAATTTCTATATTCAATGCCCTGACTGATCAAAGCCAGTGTGCCAAAAGCCTTCTTCACTGCCCTGTCTACCTGTGACTCCATTTTCAGAGAACTGTGCACCTGAACTCCAAGGTCCTTCTGTTCCACTACACCCCTTAAGGCCCTACCATTCACCACGAAACTCCTACCTGGATTTGACTTTCCAAAATGCAACACCTCACACCTATCTAAGTGAAACTCCATTTGCCATTTCTCGGCCCACTTCCCCAGCTGATCAAGGTCCTGCTGCAATTTCTGATGAGCTTCCTCACTGTCCATGATAACACCTATTTTAGTGTCATCTGCAAACTTACTAATCATGCCTTATACATTCTCATCCAAATCATCGATATCGATAACAGTTTAGTTTTAGTTCAAAAGAGTAGAGGGGCTTTATGTTGAACTTGGGAACAGATGCTGTCAGGGAAGAGCACTATTGAAATGTGGAGATTGTTTAAGGAATGCATACTGCGTGTGCTCAATATGTTTGTCCCTAGCAGCAGGGAAGATGCGGCCGAGTGAGGGAGCCTTGGTTCTCAAGAGAGGTCTAACGACTGGTTAAGAGGAAGAAGGAGGCTTATGTAAGGTTTAGGAAACAAGGAACGGAAAAGGCTCTAGAGGGATACAAGTTATCCAGGAAGGAGCTGAAGAAAGAGCTTAGGAGAGCTATAAAGGGGAATGAGAAAACCTTGGCAGATAGTATCAAGGAAAACTCCAAGCCTTTTTACAAGTACGTGAGGAATAAGAGAATGACCAGAGAAAGTATAGGGCCGATCAAGGATTGTAAAGGGAATTTGTGCACGGAGCCTAAAGAGATAGGAGAGGTCCTTAATGTATACTTTTCTTCGCTATTCACAACTCAGAGGGACCTAGTTGTAGAGGAGGACAGTGTGAAACAGGCTGGTCGGCTAGAGGAGGTGGATGTTAGTAAGGAAGATGTACGAGGAATTTTGAGGAAGTTGAAGATAGATAAGTCCCCCGGGCCTGATGGGATTTATCCAAGGATTCTATGGGAAGCGAGGGAAGAGATTGCAGGGCCTTTGGCGATGATCTTTTCATCCTCACTGTCCACGAGTATAGTGCCAGAAGATTGGAGAGAGGCAAACGTCATTCCCTTGTTCAAAATAGGGAATAGGGATAACCCCGGAAATTACAGGCCAGTTAGTCTTAAATCAGTGGTGGGCAAATTATTGCAAAGGGCTCTGAGAGATAGGATTTATGATCACTTGGAAAGGCACAGTTTGATTCATGATAGTCAGCATGGATTTGTGAGGGGTAAATCATGCCTCACAAACGTTATTGAATTCTTTGAAGAGGTGACCAAACACGTGGATGAAGGTAGAGCAGTGGATGTGGTATACATGGATTTAAGTAAGGCGTTTGATAAGGTTCCCCATGGTAGGCTCATGCAGACGGTAAGGAGGCATGGGATAGGGGGGAATGTGGCAGATTGGATTCAGAATTGGCTGACCCTTAGAAAACAAAGGGTGGTAGTGGACAGAAAATATTCAACATGGTGCTCAGTTACGAGTGGTGTACCACAAGGATCTGTCCTGGGTCCTCTTCTATTTGTGACTTTTGTAAATGATTTGGATGAAGGAGTGGAAGGGTGGATTAGTAAGTTCGCGGACGATACGAAGGTAGGTCGCACTGTGGACAGTGCGGAGGGCTGTTCTAGGTTACAAAGGGACATTGATGGGACGCAGAGCTGGGCTGAGAAGTGGCAGATGAAGTTTAACCTTGAAAAGTGCGAGGTGATTCATTTTGGAAGGACAAACTTGAAAGCAGGATACAGGGTTAATGGAAAGATTCTTGGCGGTGTGGAAGAGCAGAGGGATCTTGGGATTCATGTTCACGGTTCCCTGAAAGCTGCCACCCAGGTGGATAGAGTTGTTAGGAAGGCGTATGGAGTGTTAGCTTTCATTAATAGAGGGATTGAGTTCACGAGCCGTGAAGTTATGCTCCAGCTATACAAAAGCCTGGTTCGGCCACATCTGGAGTACTGTGCCCAGTTCTGGTCGCCTCATTAGATGAAAGATGTGGAGGCGTTGGAAAAGGTGCAGAGGAGATTTACCAGGATGTTGCCTGGAATGGAGGGAAGATCTTACGAGGAAAGGTTGAGAGAGCTAGGGCTTTTCTCTTTAAAACGACGAAGGATGAGAGGTGACTTGATAGAGGTGTACAAAATGATCAGAGGTATAGATAGAGTAGACAGCCAGAGACTTTTTCCTAGGGTGGAGGTAGCTATTACAAGGGGGCATAGTTTTAAAGTGAGTGGAGGTAGATATAGGGGAGACGTCAGAGGTAGGTTCTTTACTCAGAGTGGTAGGGGCGTGGAATGCATTGCCGGACAGGGTAGTGGAGTTGGCCTCATTAGGGGCATTTAAGCGGCTATTAGATAAGCATATGGATGTTAGTATAAGGTCGGGGTGGAGGTTAGATAGACCTTAGGATTAGGGTAAAAGTTCGGCACAACATCGTGGGCCGAAGGGCCTGTACTGTGCTGTACTGTTCTCTGTTCTCTGTTCTATGTTCTATGTTCATGCTGCACCCACTCTGGGAGTGTTTGATGGGGAAGAGTGTAGAACCTGTATCTAAACCCACCCAGTACCTGTTCTGGGAGTTTTTGATGGAGACAGGTTGGAAGAACAAAAACAGAAAGTGCTGGAAAATCTCAGCATCTGTGGAGAAAAATCCGAGTTAATGTTTCAGGTCCAGTGGCCCTTCTTCAGAAAAAAAAGAATTGAGAGAGCTTTACTTTCAATTTTAGAGTACAGAGTGCTTTACTTTTTGTTTAAAAGAGTACAGAGAGCTTTAGTCTGTATCTAACCCTGTGCTGAGCCTGTCCTGAAAGTGCTTAATGGTGACAGTGTAGAGAAAGATTTACTCTCAGTTTAAAACAGTAGAAGAAGCTTTACCCTAACCCTGTGCTCATTGTCCTGGGAGTGATTAATGAGGACATTGTAGTTAAAGGCTGGCCAGCATTTTATTGCCTGTCCCGAGCTGTCCTTGTGAAGGTGGTGGTGAGCTGCCTTCTTGAACCGTTGCAGTCCATAGACTGTGGGCTGACCCACAATGCCCTTAGGGAGAGAATTCCAGGATTTTGACCCAGCAACAGTGAAGCAACAGCGATATACTTCCGGTTCAGGATGGTGAGTGGCTTGGGAAAGAATTTGCAGGTGATGATGTTCCCAAGTATGCTGCCCTTGTCCTTCTAGATGGAAGTGGTTGTGGGTTTGAAAGATGCCAGTTCTACTAGTTGGGACAGTTCCTCCTTAGCATAGGTGTCAAAATGCCTCCAGTACCCATGGAATCTTAATCCCATACAAAACAGAACATCCTGGAATAATGGAGTGAATTGGGAAATGTGTAGAAAGTGGTTATGGTATAATCATCAAGCTTCCCTGCAACGCACACCATCATGATTTAGTAATACATCGCCATTCCTAAATTGTTACTGGGCCTAAATCATTGAACCCGCCATCAAACAGCCAGAATCATGTTTTATTGTACCTCAACTGTTGTTACACCTCGGAGGGAGGCCTCAGTCATCACAGTGACATTCTTCACCAGGTCAACCTTCTTGAAGGTTGGTGTTCCAGTCAGGAAGTAATTGATATCCTGCAGCCGGACTACAGAGAAAAGAAGGAAAGAATTTCAGTCATTACATCCCAGGAATCAAATTAACTCCATGGACAACTGTGAAAGATGAAGTTGCTTCTCAGTCACCTGAGATCCCGACCGTAATGCAGGCTCTGGAACAGTACTGAGCTAAAGGCCAGTAAGAATAGATAGAGGGGTATGGGGGGAGGTAAAAAAAACATGTTGAGAGAGACAGAAAGGCGGGAGCAAGGATGGATTGAGATGGGGAAAGAGACAGAGTGTGGGGATAGACCATGGGAGGGGAAAGGTTAGGGAGAGAGCGTGGGAGCAAGGAAGAGAGGTGAGCAACAGATAGGGCGGAAAAGTTAAAAAAGGATGAAAGGAAGACAGGGGTGAGAATGGCGGTGGCGGCGGGCGGGGTGAGGGGGTGCGGTGGTGAGAGGCCGGAGAGAGGGGCCAGACTGAAGTAGAGAGGAGAGAAGTGGACATTGGGACAAAACAGGGAATGATGTGGGGAAGAGACGGCCAGAAAGATGATGAGAGGGAAGGGAGAGAGATGGAGGGATAGAGGGGTGAGAGAGGAGAACACGTCCAAGCTTGGAAGGAAAAAACAACAAAGAGAGATGTACCACACTGTAAAGAAACTGCCCTGAATCCTCACCATCATGGGGTTTTTCACAGATGAAGTGCTGTTTGCTGTGGCAGGATATCCCATGCCAAGTGCCTTCCTTGTTCAGCTGCAGTTGAACACAGTCACCACTCTGTACCTTGGAGGTTGCCCAGTGCAGGTGGGTATCAACAGGAGTCCCGTCCACCCAGTGGTATATCCCAGGTCCTGAGGCACTGCTCTGGATCAGTCCAATCCAGGCCGTGCTGATCCTATGGCATAAAAATCAAACTGAACTCTGTACAACCTGACAGCAACTTCATTTATCATCACAATTAACTACAAGAGAAACACAATTCTATTCAGGATCAGAACTGGGACCATCATTGGAAGCTCTCGATGTGTGGAGAGGCATTTACTTTCCATTTTACACAATAAAGGTACATTGACTTTCAGTTTTAAAGAGTCGGAAGCGCTTTACTTTCAGTTTAAAAGAGGAAACTTGGGTATCTAACCCCACATTGTCCCTGTCCTGAGAGTGTTTGATGGGGACAATGTAGAGATGGTTTTGCTTTGTATTTAAAAGAGTAAAGGCAATTATACTTTCAAGTTAAATGAACAGCGGTAGTTTTACTTTCAGGTTAAAAGAGTAGAGGCAGCCTAACTCTGTATCTAATCTTGTGATAAAACTGCCCTGGAAGTGTTTGATATGGACAGTGAAAGACGGCTTTAACCTGTATCCAACCTAGTGCTGTTCCTGTCCTGGGAGAGTTTGGTAGGGACAGTATGGAGGGAGATTTATTTCCAGATTAAAAAAGTAGAGGAAGGTTTATGGAGCATCAGAGAAGCAGGAAAGTTGACGTTTTAGGTCAGGACCCTTCTTTAGAAACGTCAACTTTCCTGCTCCTCTGATGCTGCTTGACCTGCTGCGTTCCTCTAGCTCCACACTGTGTTGTCTCTGACTCCAGCATCCACAGTTCTTGCTATCTCCAGAGGAAGGTTTATTCTACTGCTGTTGATTGGGGCCTAGTACATGGAGCCTCTCCTACTGCTTTGTGGGGTCTGGGGCCTTTCATCAGTGTGACTGGGGTCTGGAGGCTCTCCTGCTGCTTTATGGGACCTACTGACTGGGGTATCCACCTTAAGGTACTAACTGAGAGCCTGTGGTTTGGGAGACGGTGCTGCCTGAGGACCTGGGGGCCGGGTGGCAATGTTGTGAAAGGGGCTTTTATTCTTTGAAAAGGGGTTAGTCCTTGGGTGGAGTGGTGAATTAGCGCCGAGTTGCGGAGATGGGGGTTGTATGGAAGGTGTGGGTTTGTTGGTGTTTGCAGTGCCTGTGTCAACAGCGGCCCCGGTGGCCTCACCATTGTTTACCCTTCATAGTGAAGCAGCATGCGGTATGTGCTACCCTCACCTGGAAATGAATACAGACTGCAGCCTTGGCGAGGGTGGTTGGTACCCCAACCATTGTCACTGGGGCAGTGAGGAATTGGGCAACAGTGACAGTGGGGATTGCGGTAGCATTGACAGTTGGGAATGGGACAACGGTAATGGTGATGAATGTGCCAAAAGAGGCAGAGGAATGGGATAGCAGTGACAATGGTGATTTGGATAGTAGTGACAATGGGAAATGGAGCAGTACTGGCAGTGGGGAATGGGGCGGCATTGTCAGTGGGGAATAGGATAGCAGTGGCATTGGAGAGTGGGACACTGCTGACAGTGTGGAATGGGGCAGCACTGACAGTGGGGAATGGGGCAGCTCTGACAGTGGGGAATGGGGCAGCTCTGACAGTGGGGAATGGGGCAACTCTGACAGTGGGGAATGGGGCAGCTCTGACAGTGGGGAGTGGGGCAGCACTGACAGTGGGGAGTGGGGCAGCACTGACAGTGGGGAATGGGGCAGCACTGACAGTGGGGAATGGGGCAGCACTGGCAGTGGGGAGTGGGATAGCACTGGCAGTGGGGAATGGGGCAGTTCTGACAGTGGGGAATGGGGCAGCACTGACAGTGGGGAATGGGGCAGCTCTGACCGTGGGGAATGGGATATCACTGGCAGTGTGGAATGGGATAGCACTGAAAGTGGGGAATGCCTGAATCCAATCTATAGCTGACATACCCAAAATTAAACAGCACAGGGCAAGGATTTCTGGAGGAGGTGAAAAAGAGACTTTGTTTAAATTAAATAAAAACCATTGAACTCACGCTGAAAAATGCTGCTGGACAAAATCCAGAACATCCACACTGTTAATAATAGCCAAGTCGGCACTGGGCTCTTGTTGGCAAGCCTGACGGGCATCGTGCCATGACCTCTGGTCTTCACTTATCCAATAACAATGATGATTTTGTCGATTGAGGTGAGCATTTTGTGGACAACTGGTGGATACACCTAGAGAAAAAAAGAGTAAAGATGGAGCATATAGGGGAGGCAATGGCCTGGTGGTATTATCGCTGGACTGTTAATCCAGAGACCCAGACAACGTTCTGGGGACCTGGGTTCGAATCCTGCCACGGCACGTGGTGGAATTTGAATTCAATAATTATCTGGAATTAGGAATCCATGATGACTGTGAATCTATTGTCAAATGTCAGAAAAATCCATCTGGTTCACTAATGTTCTTTAGGGAAGGAATCTGCCACCCTTACCTGGTATGGCCTACATGTGACTATCACAGTGATGTGGTTGACTCTTAACTGCATGCCCCCATACCTCACTGGCAGCATGCCCCAGTATCTCACTGGCAGCACACCCCATTTTCTCACTGGCAGCATGCCCCACTTTCTCACTGGCAGCACGCCCCGTATCTCCCTGGCAGCATACCCCCATGTCTCATTGGCAGCAGGCTCCCATATCTCACTGGCAGCATGCCCCTTTTCTCATCTGGCAGCATGCTCTAGTATTTCACTGGCAGCACGCCCCCTTTTTGCAGCGGCAGCACGTCCCCTTGTCTCACTTGCAGCTTGCCCCCATGTCTCACTGGCAGCATGCCCCTGTGTATCCCTGGCAGCATGCCCCCATTTCTCACTGGCAACACAACCCTGTACCTCACTGGCAGCACGCTCCCGTATCACACTGGCAGCATGCCCCCATTTCTCACTGGCAGCACGCCCCCTTTTG